AATCTTACTTTAATTACCAAATGTTCCAAGCTGCAGAGTGATTCAGTTCAAGTCAAATGCAAAAAAGAAAAAGAAAAAAGAAACAATACTTTGAATGCTGCTAGTAGACATTCAAATGGCAAACCATGAAGACAAACAAGGTCAGTAGCAAACAGCTGATTTAAAAAAAAAAATCATATTAAGGTATTTATAATTAGAACAACTTTGGGAACCATTGGGCACATAATACAGTTTAATTGCACTGTGAAAATCTGACAGATTCAAAATATAGCAAACACTTTTTACTGATTGCGTTCCCGGTTAGAGCGAGAAACCTGATAGGTTAAACCTGCGTATCTAAACCTTCTTCTCTGCGTAACACCACTGATTTCAATCTGTCCTGATCGACTGGCACGGCAGCAGTCATGACAACTAAGGTGAACGAATACTTTCATTCTCTTTACATCTGAGAAAAAACCTCCTTTCATACGCAACATTTTGCTTTTCATGCAGCCACTGCCATTCATTACATTCATATTATCCTATTTTACTTTTCTTTATTGGTCTCGTCTTTTAATCTTCCAATTTATGCAACCATGTAAAATATTTTCCATGTTTCCTCTAAGCACTCTGTTTTGCTTAGAGCACTTTGAATCGCTTACTTGTGTATGGGCGATACACACATTAACTTGAGTTGAACCTTACAGCTTTGTGTGTTTTTCTTTTGTAAGGGGAGGAGATTGTCTCCTTAATAAATGCAGGGGTTTGTAACCCCTCTTCATTTACTTCAACTAAGGTTAAGAGCTCAAAATAAAATACTGCCTGATCTCAGTAGCTTGGTCGGTAATATAACTTTAATGACACTGCACTGGGCAGAGCTGGAACGGACTAATGGAGAATAATGAAAGTGTTTATCAACAATACAAACAAGGTTGGTTCAAAAGACTACACAGGATCTGCAATTTGTCTAGATAAAGTGTAACTATTCTGATGGAGTCTAAAAGAAACTTTTTTTTGTGCGATATTCAAAACTCAATACAAAAACTGTGAATTCTTGTATAAAAGCTCTGTATGTGACGGCACAGTTGTATTGTTTCTTTAAAAACAACCGTGGCTTTCATTAAATAGCAGGGACAAAAAAATGCGTAGAACAAATGAGACATCTAAGACACAAAAAATAGAACCTGTGTTTATCTAAATGTTATTAAAGAATAAGAAGAGAAAAAGCTTTTTTTAAAAATCGCTCCAAACACGATTTTCTGACCTAGACCTTAATCAACCAATGGTGATCGCCTTCCCCCTTCATATCCAACATTTCCTGTCCTAAGGTAAAAAAGATTAAAGCAAAGGTCTGGAGAAGTGCCAACTTGCTGCAAGGGATATAATTAGCCTCGGGGGTATTTTTTTTGGGGGGAGGGGGGGGTGAAGCCCTCTTTTCTGTTTCCTTCATAACTAATTCACAAGCCCTTGATTCTCCTTTGGCATCTCGGGGTAAACCAGCTAGCCATGCTAATATTATGGGTGTGTTAAGTTGACTGACTAGTTCCAGCGCATATTTTTTTTTATTCAACTAATAAGTCCCATTAATGTTAATGGCGTCAGAGTTTACCTAAATTCACTTTGTCCTTAGCAAACAGTTTCTATGGTTATGCTGGAAATGGGCAGGTCAGCGTTGCTGCACGTTAAGCTCGACCGCAGCGAAGGTCTTTCATCAAGCAACACAAAAAAAACATTAAGATGATGACAGCAGAAAATTGGAATACATGCTATTTGTATTCTTTGGCGATGATGTGAGTAAATGTTTGTGTTATGTAATTCCTCCAGCTTATTCAATTTCCGAGGAGAGAAGCCCTTCCGATACGGCACATGAAGGAGTTTTGGATAATATGGAGTTATGAGAGATGGAGGAGAGTTTTACTGTAGATTTATTCTGCTGTCAGCTCAGAGGAGACTGTGTGTTTGTGCGCTGGTGAGCGGGAGCGTGTGTCAAAATATATTGTGTGGATGCGTTGCTGTCTGAGTCTGTGCATACTGTAAGTGTACACGTTTGTGTGTGTGCATGTGTGTGTGACTGTAGCTGTCTTCCAAGTCGATAGACACACTCTGTCACCGCTGGCAAGTAACTGACAGCCTGGAGTTTGCTGGGACACAGGCCTTGCATATATTACCTCCATTACCTTGTGTGTACATCAGGATGGAATTCTCCTTGGCAGTGCTTTCAGAAATCATCTAGCTTGGCGGGGGATTAAACAAACACCCTCTATTCTGGCTTTTGGGTAGAAATTATGAATTCTCCTCCCTCTGTAAGGAAGATAGGCAAGAAAGGTTTCCCTCTCTGTTAATGTGATTTATGTCAGAAAATAGTGATTTGTTATATAAATACAGGAGAGCCAGCTGAAGAAGCTCCCATTTCTTTATCATGCCATCAATCAAAAGTTAAGTTTTTAAAAATCATTTTATTTTTTATATTACTCAAATTCCAAATGAATAATTGTAAACAAATACTTTCTTAGAAAATTAGAGTTGGAGACTTTTGAACTGAGACCTTCAGTTCAAACTGAAGGTTGATGAGTTCCTCCCTCATCACTTAACTGCAGGATTGTCATGATTTCAGAAAAAGAAAATCTTGAATTTTGATTCATATTGTTAGCTTGATTCTTGTTGTACAAGTGTGAAAGTGCGTAGAGTACAAGTGTGTTATTTATTCAGGTCACAGGTAAAGCAAATCAGCTCCGGGCTCTATGTTCCCTGAGGATCTCAGTCAGAGAGAGCCCAGATTTCTGGGTGTGATGGACTGTTATCTCCGTGGGCTGGCTCTGCCCCGTACAGTAAAAAGGCCAAATCTTATTGGCCAATAACATCTGACATGAACAGGTCAGCTCCTAATTTGTGCAAATTCTGCTGAAATGTGATAAGAATTATGTGTGTATCTAGTGCAACAGAGTGAGGAGGAATTTGTGAGTACAACCAGAGAGATTGTTCGAGCTCAGTGCAAAATTATAATTCTAAAATGAATAAATCAATTAGTAATTTACAGGGATTCAGTGATGAAGTAAAACTCTAAAGAGAACAAATATAAACCAATTGTAAAAATATGACCAATGAGCAGTTTTCAAGTCTTTCCACTCTGCCTCAGGTCATTCTGAATGACCTTATACCCAGACAGGAGGATGTTGTTCCGTGTTCATGTTCGCATAAGGGATCCTCTTTTTTAGGGTCAAAGCTCTAACTACATATTTGTTACTGACAGCCGTGTTTAAAGACAATAATTTCTTTCCCTGTGGTTAGCATGTGGTGGAAATCAGATAGTGGGTTGTGAATCCAATCGTGATTTCCATTCATGGTCAACTCGTACACAGATACGTCTCCAGATTCTCATTATCTTTTGATGACCTACTGAACTGAAAATGATTGTATTTTCAAAGTCTTAACATTTTAGCCGATTTTTGTGGATTGCCAAATCTCTGCTTGCCTTTGATTTATTTCTGATTTTATTCATTTGAGCATATTCCTAAAATCTGCCTCTCCAACGTGCTGCATGCTGCAGTAAGTCATGTACATAATTATTAAAATATGTAGTTGCAAAGTGTTAAATGTGTGTTTGTGTGTGCCACTCCAACAGGCAATTCAAAATCATCAACTGACCTAAACTTTTGGACTGAGGGAGAAAGAACCCAGGCATGGAGTAGGAGAACATGTAAACTCCACTCAGAGCCCCCCTCCCCCCCAGTCCACTGGGGATTAGAACCAAAAACCCCAAGAACAGGTGGTGTATAACCACCTACAGGAAGGGACTAACCACCACTGGGCAGCCTGATCAAAAAAATCATACGACAATCAGAGCAGAGAATAAACCACATAATGTCAGGCTCTTTCCAGCCTGTGATGCAGCCAAGGACGTGGCAAGGACTGTGGAGAAGAAGCTGTACATGTCAAATAAAATGTTTGTCCTCAAACTCTTAATCGGTCATTGTTTTTTCAGCTCCATTGTAGCAAAGAATACATGGCAAGGCACGGATGGACAGGCAGAAACAAGTGTAAGAGGTAAAAGATAGATAAAGCTTCAGCGGTTCTTTTTCTGTAGGAATCTCCATTTATGTTCACACTTGCAGGAAGAGAAACTAGCCAGAGAAACATTTTGCATTCATTTGTCTTCCCCTCTCTCTCTTCCTCCCCTGCTTCCAGCTCCCTTACAAATCATTAGTTTCACTTTTCATTAGGCTGGATCAATAAGGCGGATCAGTCGCTGTCGGTGTGGCGCATACCCCTCGCCCCCCCCACCCCTCTCTGTCTCTCCACTCTTTTGATTCACCCTTTCTCTTTTCCTCTATTGCTCTGACATAGATTCCGGCTACAGTATCTCATCAGTAACTATCAAGTAAGGCCGGTTTTGAGAGAAAGCAGGAGGGTTGATGAGCCCGAGAAAAGTATGGCAGCCCGTGACCTCTCAAGCATTTATTCATTTGAAAATTACAATAGAACTGCCTATATTGACACTCATTTTCTGACAAGCCATTCCTTTTTTTTACCTAATAGTTTGAATGAAAGTAAATTTAGTTTTTTTTTTTTTATAAAATTTATTTTTTATTTTTTTTAGTTTATTTTTTTTTTTTTTTTTTTACATTTGAAACCAAATTAAAGGTAAAAAACTGAGAGCTTTCCTTGTTGTAAGCCCACAGTTTTCAAGGTTTCAGTGAGTCCTGGTAATGTGATGATTGGAGTTAAATTAAACTGAAATCTTGCTGGTTTTATGCTGAGTACTTGTGCACGGTTAATTATTTTGCATCCGAACCCCGAGTTTTCCCCAGATCAAATCACATTCTACTTTATGATAACCAAGTCATATTCTTCTGATTGTGCCCCCGCGCCTGTTAGCTCCTCAGAAACACTTGCATGACCAATGGTGAAGGTGTGAAGCCAGTGCCTGTCCAAGAGTTGCTTTGTGATGTAGTGATTGGCTCAGGGTTGGCGAGAGCAGTGATGGGCTGTTTGATGTCTATGTGTGCTCAGTTCTGACTCACCCAGCACAGTGAGTCGGGCAGGACGGGACCTCATGGCAGCCTGAACAGCCTGGCACTCAAACACGGCGTCATCCATCAGTTCGACACGCTGGATCCGCAAATGATGCTCCCCTGAACCGTGGTCGCCAGTCACTGTGTAACGTGGATAGCCTGCAGAGCAAACACAATTGTTCATCCCGACTCAACTCCAAGAGCCAAACTATTGCTCATCTGCCAAAAAAAGAGAGACAATACATTTGTGATCTTGAAGCTTTTCATGAAAAATATTTTCTTTGTAGCCAAACATGTAAGTGTGTGTCCATATTACCACACACTGTTCTGGCATGGGCACACCAACTGAGCTGCGGTAAAGGAGTTGGTTTCAAAAAGCTGGGAGGTGATGACTCGGTTGCTTGATTGGTGCATATAGGAAGATTGCTCATTTGTGAGTTTGCTCAATACATTTCTAGGCACGTTTTTATGGCACTGCTGGCAATGTTAATGAGCGGCTGTGGAGGCTGCAACAGTAAACAGGAACAGCTAGGTTTGGACCTGTTTCAGCATTGCTCTGTGAAATGATTTATAGTTTAATATTGGAGGAAAGCAGAAGAATATCCAAGAGACCTGGGCAAGTCAAGCTTGATGGTTTTTAAAGATATCCCTTGAACTATTATCAAAATTTGCATTGCGAGTTGTGTTACGCAGCGTATCTGTCCGTGGGGGGATATAAACAGGAAGAAGGATCTGTTTAACCAGAGTGCACTGTGGGGTATTTCAAACACGCTCAGAATTGCTCATCTCTGCAGATCCTGTTTTTCCCCCTTTTGATCTCGTTCTTTATTTCCAATTATTGTGGATACACTTTGTGGAATGAAATAAGAATTTATGTTCACAATAACTAATAATAAAAAAAAGGAAATGCGTAGTTCAGACTGAGAATTGGCCTTCACAATACTGAGGTGATGAAACCAGAAAACTGAAGAATTTTTCTGGGGAGGAAGGCCAGACTGTCCACAAAGCCACACTGTAAACCGTGTCTTTTGTTCAGGAAGACAAAACGTCATACTCTGGACTCGTTCACCTGTCAATCTGCCTCAAAAAGAAATAAATAAAAAGTTCGACAGTTCCCATCAACCGGACAGGTTTTTGCCTACAAAAATATGGAGGACTAAAATATTGAGTTCTTCATATAATCTAAACCTCACCTTTCCTCACACTCAGCAGTTTTATAAGTCTTCAAATTTGTCTATAACCATCGTATGCTGTTAGTCCAATTACTGATTGTTGCTTCATTGAATCCAGCAGCTTTTAATAGAGCATGAAGTGGGCCTCATTATAGGCTGGTGGGGTGAGTTGCGGCCGATTAGGCTTCTCTTTGCATTTCATCCTCCTACACGAAGCCTTTAATCTTAAGAGTCTATACAGTAGGAGGGCGAAGCACAAAAGAATGCCTTGGCAAGGATATTCAAATCTGAGAGGCAGATAAACAGTTAGCTGAGACGAGCGTCGAAAAAAAAATCTGCCAGGTGAGGTTTTACTGTCAAACAGTACGTGGTAATGATAGCGCATCTCGTTTCTTTGACTTTTTACATTACTTCCTACACGAGTGACAAACACAGCAGTTAACACTTAAGCGAGGCAGACTGCCCGGGGTCAAAAGGTTAACAGGGACCTGATCATAGCGAAAAATGTCCTTCAGCAGCTCTTGACTGAAAAGATGCTTTCAGGCTTTGTCGGTCCGCGGATGATTCTCAAAGTTCATCAAGCCCCATTATATGGGCAAGGTCACTCTGACAAGCATTTTACTTCAGTTTTATGCTCATTGATGATATCCAAAGCAATATTGCGAACGCGGATAACAAGGATAATGATTATTGGACTATCAGAATGGTGTGAACTCGACTTGACTCATTTCTGCCTGCCTTTGCTTCACTGAAGTAACCATGAAAACAGACAATGGTTTTGCCTTTTTTCCCACCGTAGTAGGGCATAGCCTATGCTAAGTAAATTTATTTGGTCCCACAAACAGACGATCTCCTGCATTAACTCATATAGGCCTCCGGCAAACTAAGAATAACACTGTGGTGTGAAGATGTGGCTACATCAAATTTAATCCAAAAGCAAATGTCATTCTCTGTTGGGATAAATAATGATATGAAAAGTATATAAACACACCGTAATGGGATTTGCCACCTTATGAGCACCTTGATCATGCATTTTGTCAGTATGATTGAAATGACACCGGCACACATGAAGACTGATCACTTCTGCCCACGTGACGTGCACCTAAAAAGGGCCATTGATCTTAGATCTCAGCACATTTCAAAGACACAATGTGTTACCAAAAGAAAACAATGTAAAATAGGCCCATTAAGGAGTAATGAATCCATCAGGGAGAAATGGATTTGTCTTGGGGCTGAATCAATGGTGTGCGTGCACGCAGGTGTGTGTGCGTTACTGCGGAGACACTTGAGGCATGGCCTGGTGATGTATAGCATTCACCTAGAACACGTTTTGCATGGCTCAAACACCGGGGGGATAAAAACAGGCTTGCTGCAGCTCTAAGCAGGTGACTAGTGTTCAATTTGTTCTCCTGAAAGGCAGGTGTGACACACAGTTACGTCCACAGGTTTGCTATAACCCCCGCCTGTCAAAATGTACACAAACACTTCCTTCCGCGTCCTATACCATGCGAACATCTGGCTGCCACGCCCATTGTAGCCATCGCCATCCAGGCAGACGCTCTCCGCATGATGCATATTCATGGCGTTTGATTGGTATGTTGAGCCGCTGTGGGGCCACTGCACTTTTCTTCAATTAGAGTGGAAAAGCGTGACTCAGAAGGGAATGGAGAGGAAATTCGGGGACTGATAGGAATCATTGGCTTTTGTGCTGTGATTTCTCGCTCTGAATGGTGAAAGAGTTCTCTAGGTTTAATCACTGCTCCTGTGAATGGAAACAGGTCCCAGGCGGAGAACGGTGCCAGCGCAGCTTCTTTCTATGAATAGCCGAGCAGACCTATATTATTGAAATGCTCCATGTGGCATTTGATTCGGTTCTTTTTTTTGTGTATACATCTGCCACTTGCCTTTCAATGTGTACATCTTGTGCTGATGTACCATCACTCTTTTACGGCTGCATGTATTACTTCTTTAGGTAGGCTGGAATGATGAAAAAGGACAGCTGCTGAGCGCCTTTTAAAAATAAAATCGGAAATGTGTCTCAATAGAAGATGCTCTGCCATTGTCCATATAATATGGATTATTTTAGAAACCTTTCTACTTCAGGTAGTCGTCTATTCCTCTTAATGTAAACCCCTTTAACATCTTGATTAAAGACTCAAGATATTTCTCTAGAAGAAAATGGTCATGGCCAGAAATACTTCATCCTGTCGGCGACTATTAAGCTATTCACAGATGTATTGTTTGAGGCCGATGTACTGCAGTTTCCTTGACTGTTAAAGCTAAATATTCTTTTTCTCTCTTCCTGTTCCTTCCTCTGACTTTGCCTGCTGTTGAAATGAGATTTCATTTTGATCATCCTGTCATGTTAAATCAATAAAAACAGAAGAGGATAAACATCTCTTCACAGTTCTGAGCCTATATAAAACTGTGCTCTCCCTCTCTCTTTCATTCTATCTGAAGCAATCGTAAATACTCTCCCTGTCTACCTCCTCTTCCTCCAAAGGAGACTCAAAGGCTGGAGGACTATTGTTTACAGCTACCTCTCAGCCTCCCTTGGGAATGATAAGGACCTGAATCCAGAATAGGATGGCTTTACTGGGGCTCAGTCAGCCACTGAGGTTTAATTACAAACCAAATCTGCATCAGGAAAGCGTGTGCCAGTGGTCAGAGGGTAGAAAAGCCCCAATCTCTACTACAGTACATACGGTATTTAATCATTCATGACTGTAAGAGATATTTGTGTTTTAAAAAGGGCCACAGTTGTGCCATTGTGCACTGAATCGCAATTAACTCTTAGGTCTGTAAGTGGTCTCAGTGTGCTGAGGTCTATGATGCAAAGCCCAACATAAATGAGCTGCTTGTGGCTGCCGATGCAGCAGTGAGCACACATTCAAGTTGCTGTCTGTTTTGGGACATATATATATATATTCTCAGCAAATAGCTCGTTTGATTAAAAAAAACTTCTAAACATCTCAACCTCTTTCTTTTATTGAAGTTGTCATTAAAGAAATTGAAATTAATCAGATGTCCTTGCAATGAGCTGCTTTAAACTTAGTTTATTTGCACTGCTGTGTGTGGATGCAGAACTGCTTCATCCCTTGATTTAGGTGCCTTTTCATAACTGAAAATAAGTGGAAAAAGCCACCATTGTCCAAAAAAGATGTTTAGAGAGCATGGAGAATTATTGATGAAGACATTTTGTCTCATAATATAAAGATATGAAAGGGAACTCTGCTAAAAGCCGTTCAATGATTTATTCTTTTAAAATTTTCTTCACATCTGATCAAAAGGGTTGTAAATGAGAAAAGCGATGCATTTCCTTCAACTTCAGTAGGATCATGAATATGCACAAGCTGCAATTGGTTGAGCAAAAGGTCACTAAATGACAGTGCAGTAGTCACTTTACTCCAAATTAAATAATTAAAGCAATTATGCACAAGGTGCAATGTAATTAGATGGACACGAGCTACTTTTCAAAATGCCAATTAGCAGCCCGAAGCAACAGAGAAAGACTGGTGAATTGACTGATTTCAAATCTCATTTAGATTTCTCTGCCACTGTGCTAAAACAGAAAGTAAATCACACAGAAGTGTGCTTAGAGCAGATTTTCTTTAGTACCCTGTTGTGAGATTTCGTTCAAGTGTCTTTTACATCAGGTTTTTATCAAAACGTAACCTGTTGACATGTGTTACATGGCAAACAGCTTGCCCTTGAATGTGGCAGTCATAAAAGAGTGCCGTTAATAAATAAAATGCTGTTTCATACCAGAGAGGTCTCTGCCCACTCCCAATGCCAGGCCATCTTTAATCCACAGCACAACGCCGTGGTATCCGGGGATAGTGCATGGTAGTGTCACGGGCTGGCCCGCCACCACCACCAGGTCCTGTGGCTGCTGGGAAAACATGGCCTCCGTCCCTGCAGGGGAAAAGAAAAGACGGCATTAGCTCGATCTCAATTATTGGGTCAATATCATCATCCTAAAAATAGTCAACACAAGAAAAAGAATAAGTGACGCCCTCAATCTTTCGAACGCGCGACGAGAATCAAAGTGCACAATGCTCCAATTTCCACCAATTCCGCTCAAACATCTCCTCAAACTTTTGTCGGAAGAACCCGGGAAAAGTTGATATTCAAATGTGGCACACCATTTTACTATTCATGATACAGAAAATAGACTCTGCTCTGGCATCAGAGTGCAGCAGCAGGTTTAAAGTGAGGGCTAAGAGACAGCCATCATAGCTCAGCTTGTTTCTTTTATGAAGGATGTCACCATGCAGATGGGCTGGGCCCATACACACCACGGAGCACAACACAATCTTGTCTGCCAACGCGGCTCTGGCAGCATACATTAACTCAAGCTCACACCCATGTATTCCAACTGTGCGGCTGCTATTAACTGCACCGCTCTGCTGTGTGTTCAGGCAGAAAGTAGCGAGCGGCGAACTCCATTATAGGTGCGTTAAAGGGGGGTGTGTGTGTGGGGGGGGGGGGTTACAGTGACAGCGGAAGGTGTGTGATTGTTGGAAGTAGGGGCTTGGATCAGAGTGGAAGGTACAGATTAGCGCTGATGTGTACTCAAAGGCACAAGCGCTGTGCCTATCAAAGGAAGCCTGCACATGCTGACATGCATTCATCCCGACGCTCTCAGCCTGCTCCAGGAGCAGAGGTTTTCAGCATGCGACTCGCTCACTCACACCCAGAGACGGTTTTGTTCACGGTCTGTTCTTGTTTTCAAACTTCCGCATTCGGTTGTTTGGATCCGACTGTCAGCCTTTTTTTTTTTAGCTAATATCCTACCTCTTCGATAAGTGTGGAGACACAAACAGAGGCGAGCCAGCTGCGCAAACCGGAGCTGAAACGGCCTCATACGAGCCTGTTTATTCCACCTTAATCATATGCAAATGAAAGCTGGCAAAAGCATGTAGTTAATCACACTATGGGCGCAAAAGACTGGATTGTAGAATAGCGTTTTTTATTTATTTTATTCTATATGACGTCTTTGTGTGCTTTTTTTTTTTACATACAAAGTTATCCAGCCTTCAAAATGTCAAACTCCAAATAGTCAAGGGATTCTTGTTGTTAAGAAAATCATTTGAATTGAGATGGAAAATTAAAATCGCAAAGTAATTTTCTCCGAGCCTGAACTTTTGTTCTAGCTGACTGAAGTTGAGGGCGCAAGTTTACGCGTAAACTCACTCACATTCATGCGCCATCTTCACAGTCGGACTCAACCAAGTGCAACACGAGTCACACAATCCCGCTCGCAACCGCTTTCCATAACTAAACCGAAATTGGTTAAGACAAAAAAAAAAAAAAAAACTAAGCATTTAATGAGCTTTTCATCATCTTTTGCCCCTGAACCGTAAGATGCACTTTGAAAACGTACGCGTCTTTGGAGGCTTTTGTCAGCTAGGTGAGAACATCGCATCGCATTGCCCTTCAAACCCAGGCAGCTTTGTTCAGCTTTGACTGTTCCAGCCTGAGGAGCTTATCTCAGCTGAATTTGCCAGTCTGCACACACGTGACACATGCCAACATACAGACAGCTACTTGTCAGATATATGGCCCTGCTCACAGAATCATTGTAAACGTGATGGGCGCCTTTATCCTCTCGGCCATGACTTACTACGGGGGAGCCCGTGACATAAATGATTTAACTTACTCGCAGACTATGCTGGATCTGACTCTTTTCCCCTGGACTGATCGAAGGTAAAGCTGTGATGCAGCTACAGGAGCTCATCATGTGTTCACATTCAAGATTTAGACATACTGTCTGCCCTCATGCAAAATCCCATCCACACTTTCTAAATACTGATAAAAACATACTTGACTCATGGCTGAAAAGCTCCTGAAAAGTTGGAATTAATAATGCAAATTTCAAAATATGCAAGAAATATGTTAACTGTAATCGGTATGTCAGACCACATCCAGCATGTAGACATTTTGTGATGGTTTCCAGTTGTTTTGTATGAAGAAACATTCATCCAGTAGCAGCAACCCTGCTCTGTGTTCCAGAGCCTACTTCAGAGTCTGACCTCTGCCTCAGTGGAAGAGGATGGACCACAAATAAACATCAACACAAAGCAATGTGGCTTGAAGTATAGCCAAAGCGCCGGACAGTGATCACTTTGTGGAAGGGAGATGGGAGGAAATAAGCATTTATTCTTTATTTTTGCCTTTGTGAGTATCAGTGACCTTTCTCTTTCAGAGAAACTCTGCACTAGAAAAAAGAGAAGTTTGAAAGACATAAAAATCTAACTGGCAGGGAGCGTCTAACTCACGATGTAATTTGGGCTTTTATGGGAACTTGACATTTTTTGATCTGAACTCATACTGGGAACTTAAAATGAGTCTATGGTATTATGCCAGCAGAATATTAAAGAGCTAGGTTAAGGCTCTAAAAAGGCTATGAACCAAATGCTGCAGCCAAAATTATGACTTCCATGACTAAGACTAGCAACTGAAACTAATTGGTGGCATGATTCCTTTCTTAAAATTGGCAATATACTCACATTGTAACTGAAATCAGGTTCAACATACCCAAAAAGATTCAGTTCTTAAATATACGGGTTGGCTGATGGCGATGGAAACAAAAGTCTGACCTCTGAAACCTTTAATCTCACTTTTTGACGCCCGCAACCAGGTCTGACGTCCGGTGATGTTTCCCTTAAAAGCAATTATCTAAAAGTGTTCACTTTGCTTCCATTCCAATAAATGTCCTCAAAGGGCTTTTAGGGTATACGCAGAATCAAAGAGTTAACTGACAAGCGCTTGTACTTGTCACTTAATCAGTTTAAAGTGACCTCCTTCATTCGATTTAAAGCCTGGCTGGGTTTTGCAACAACAGTGTCTTCATGGAGACAGAGCTGCAGAGAAATGGGCTGATCTGTGAGAGAGTGCTGGGTCCTCCATCAAGGTGGCGACATTCATTCATCCATCAATCCATCCCTTCTGCAATGAATAAATCTCTGTCACATCTGCCAGGTTTATCCTTCACTGGGCGTGTTGGCAAAAAAAAAAAAAAAAACACCTAACCTGCCTCGTCTTTATCCATTGCCAGGCATGGCACGCACCAGGGAGAAGACAACCTGTCCCCTCTCCTAGCAATGACAAATATTTTCATAACTGAAAAGTGCAATTAAGAATCAAGCACCTCACTTTAGTCTTCATCACTGACAGTAATAGGAGGGGAGGGAGGGCAATTGTCCTCAGGTGCCTGCAGAGCCGGAGATCCACATTAATGATGCTTTATAAAGCATCCTAATGGGATTTACTAGAGAGCTTGTTTAATAAAAAAAGAGAAAAAATGGAAAAAGTAAATACAATCAAATGGAAAACAGTGTAGGCATGCCTATTTGCTGTGAGTCGAATGGGCCTTGACTGGAAATGTGTGGGCTCCCAGAGCAGAAACGAACTCCCTTTGTCTGTCGCTAGAGACAGCAGACAGCCCTGTGGGCATTTTCTGTTCAGCGATGGCCAATGACTAGACATTAGAAAGAGACAAAAAGGTTAACAACTTAGTTTGTTTCTACACTTTCAATAATGCTTGAAAAGATTGGTGAAAAGGGCAGAGAGTTGATTAACTCCAGCTCTTTAACTGTTGTGCGTTTTGCTCCAATCTAACTTCACAGCTTATCTAACTGCCTCCATTACTTACACCACATATGGACATTTGGACAACACAGTGGCAGACTTTAAACTGAATGTCTGCCCCCAGAAAAACTACACAGACCGCACACAGAGGGCTGTTTTTTTCGTTTTCCTTATTTTACAGAAAAGTTACCCTATTGAAACATTCAAGAGAAATACTAGACACATCTGGAGTCCTGTGTCTGTGAGTATTTTCGACCTGGTTTTCAAAAGTGTGTTTATATGCGAAAAATCAACGATGGCCTCACGCTGCGTTTGATTGAATACCCAGCATCAAAAGAGTGAGGTCAGGGATCTTTGATGAGGACTGACCGGTTGTTTCAAATGTTGGAATAAAAAGAAAAAAAAAGACAGGTAGTTGAAAGACTGAGCCCAAAGCCACATTCATAATGTAGACCAGCACTTTGCTTTGCCTAATGTTGTAATTTCACTTCCCATAATTTGTTTACCATTGGACGGCTGCTGGATTTCCACACACTCCAGCGCTATTTTCCCCTCAGTGCTAACTGCCCCCAATTTCATCGCTCTTTGCCAATCAGGCCCGGAAATTGCCGTTACGGACACACATCCAGCCCACTTCAGAGGAATAATCAGCATGCTGTCTGTGCGGCATGTGGCCACACAGCACCGAAGCTTAGCACGTGATCATTATCAGAAACTATTACCCCTCTGGCCTTGACATTTTTATGCCAACAATCGAGAAGCACGGGAGAGCGTCCTGATGTGGAGGAGTGGGGGGAGCAGAAGCTTGTGTTGCTGTTTGGTAGCCGGTGGTCATCGTTTCTTTGTTTTACGCCATTGCCGCTGGTAATGTTCACTTGATATGATGGTGGGGAGAGTGGAAAGCATGTGGAAAGACTGGTGCAAGTGTGTGTGTGAGGTATTTTTATCCTCCTCTAATTCACTTTAGTTTCCATAGGTGACAGGGTGCTTGTTAAAAGTGTGAGGTATAGGGACTAAATCAACTTGTTCATATGGACTGCATTGTAATGACCGCATCGACTTGCAGTTAAGTTGCATGAAAAATATCATCTTTGGATCTGTGCTTCATTTGTTTAAAGTGCACATAGTGAATGCACCCTGCAGGAATAAAGAAAAGTCATTTTTCTCGCCATATAACCAGCTTTTTTTTTTCCCTTCTTTTTATCCTCTCGGAATTTCTGTAAATCATTACTTAACTCTTGCAACGTGGCTTCAGAGGTGTTTAATTCAGACCTGTGGTTCAGTATAAACACAAATCCCCTGCAATATGGATTACTCTATCTAAATCTTTATCTCTGCCAAATGAAACTTGCAAATTGCAAAGCGCTTCCCTGTCTGCCTCCGTCAGACAATGATTATTCATGAGTGAATAACTCCTCAGAATATTCTGGAAATCTTTCCATGGGGTCTAATGGCCGTGATTTTTTAATTCCTGGCGTCTTTATCATTAACTTAAAGCAAAAAAAAAAAGAAGAAAAAAAGATATTGCTATTGGTTATGTGACTCCTTAAAATGAGTTTCAGATGAGTGATAGATGCATTTGGTAAAATGTCTCAAAAAGCTTTTTCTAAAGAAGGGGAAACAAAAAAGAGAAGGAAAAAATAGGAGCAAGCTCAATTTCAGAGGTGTTAAAGTCACATTATTACAAACTCGTGGCAAGAACTTGGCTGCAAAAGCCGGCTAATTATCCGCTGAAATTCATGCTTCAGTCATCTTTGCTCTATCATATAATTTATTCACAAAATCACTTCAGAAGTCACCTAATGATTCTGATTTGGCGGATTTGATCAACTGCTCACAGGACCTGAACAACCTAAAACTGCTACATGGAATAGGTGTAAAACACCGGCAAATAAACAACAATAATCAAAGTATGTCAGACTGGACTATCTTTAACTGAACAGCACTAGTTCTACGTTTACTGGTTTTTACTAAAAAAAAAATGAATCCCTCTCTGAAATCATTTTGTTTGCCACAACTCACAGGGAAACAGGGATAACACTTTTAGTCGATGCACAGGGTTTGGTTTAAGTCAAATCCATTTATCAGATTCATTTTTCTCTTGGCAGACATACGATTTTAAAGAAAGCCTGCTTTTGCCGCAAACAGTGCGATGACACGATGCCAAGCGGTTCTGTTTCGAGGGCCACTACATTAATATAAAAATATAATCCCTCAAAGGCTGCCAATGTTGGTAACCAATAATGAATATTTCATAAAGCTCTATCTAGCCCA